GAACTTATTTCTTCTTGTATAACTTGAGTTTTTAACATTATTTTTTGCACCAAAATATTTTCCAAGTCTTTTTACAAGAAGAGTAAAGTTTTCATCTTCATCGGTGTTGTCTTCTTTCTCCACTTCTTTGGATTTGGCTTTTAAGACAATGCTCTTGGATTTCTTTTCTTGAACTTCATGTTTCTCCAATCTTCTGAGTTTCGTTTCATATTCTTGGAGTTTTCCGAATAACGTAGCGGACGTCATTATTGATAGGCTTTTCTTCTCGAAAATCGCCGTCACTTTTGGTTGCCATTCTCTTGATAAGGACCTAAGCACTTTAAGATTAAGTTCATCATTGGTTAGTGCCTTACCAAGTGCATGTAAGTGATTTGTCAAATGCATGAATCTTTTCTGCAGGTCTAAGATAGATTCTCCTGGTTTCATTCTGAATAATTCATACTCTTGACTCAAAGTGTTCAATCTGGATCTTTTGACTTCGGCGGTTCCTTTGTGAGTTTCAACAAGAGTGTCCCAAATTTGCTTGGTCGTTGAACATGTTGAAATACGGAAGAATTCATCCATTCCAAGTGCACTCTGTAGTATATTTATCGCCTTTTTATCATAAAGAACTTTCTTTTTATCGTCATCATCACATGATCCTTGCAGTTTTGATGAACCGACTCTGTTGACTACTGTTACCAGAAGAAATGGACCATTCTGGACAGCACCCCATATTTCACTTCCTTGTACTTCTAGATGTGCTTTCATTCGGATTTTCCAGAAGTCGAAATATTTGCCACAGAACAGTGGAGGCTTGTTGCTACTGCCACCATCTTTGAAAACAATATTGTTATTTGCATAAGCCATCTGGATCGGATAGGAACAGGTTACCTATAACCTGCTCTGATACCAATTGTAAGTAGTAACTGCGCCTAAGAGGGGGGTGAATTAGGATCTTCAAAAATAATTAGCAATCTTGTTAAGGTTCCTTGGTTCTTTTTCTTGGTTGTTAAGTTATTGACGGAAAGTAAAGGCAGAAAGAAAAAGACACAGGAAATTATAGTGGTTCCCTTCACACTCCGAAGGTACTCCACTCCCCTTTCGACTCGAAAGAGTATTTCACTATAGTTCATAATTTTTGTAAAGCCTAATCACATCCAAAGTGATGCTTACTATTTAAACCTATAGGTAATTCCAAGTGTTGAAGAACAATCCTCTTCAATACACTTCACTTGTTTCCAACAATCCTGGAAAACAAGGTAATACACAAAAATGTTCTTGACAAAGTAATTGATGGAAAGTTGTTTATCAATCTTCAAGGTTGATCTTCTTCTCGAAACAAATTATACTCAGATGAAATATACAAGTGTTCTTTGTGAAAGAAGATTGTGAGAATGTGAAAGTTATTTCAAAATATAATTTGGACACTTAATGAAAATTCAAAAGGTTGAAGACAAAGAGTAATTTGATTAATTTGTTTCTTGAAGGTTGTTTTTTATTTTGAAATAGAAATCAATTTATACTGGTGAAAAACCTTTCCAAAAAGGTGTGATTTTGAGACAGTAAAAAATAGCCAGTAAGAAAATATAGAACAATGCAACCCTCCATGAAAAGCTGCTATTTTTGGATGTTGTTACAGTGTTAATCGGTTAACCAAATAGGTTAATCGGTTAACACCTTTCCAACGTATAAAAATATTTGAAATTTTCATGTGTTAATCGGTTAACCCATATGGTTAATCGATTAACACTGTTGTAAAGTCCCAAAAACATAATTTTAGATTGTGTTAATCGGTTAACCCATATGGTTAATCGGTTAACACTGAAGATTTTTGTAAAAATACTTAATTTAAAATAGAATAAGTATTTTAAAAATGTTTTGAAAGTATTAGTGTAAGTGGTGTAGTGAAATGTGATTTTTAAAGAGCACTTGTATAAATTTTCTAAAGTAGAAAAAAATGTTTATATCGTTCTTTGAATCACCATTTTCACTTGTAGCTTGTAGACGAAGCTTTGATCGATAAAGTCGTATGTGATGATACTCTCTTGATCTTTGTTGATCTTGTTTGCTTGCTTGCGTCTCTTGCTTTTTGCGAAGACTTCAGAAGAATGATGGTTCTGGTCTTATCTTCAATATATACCCCTACGGGTGTATAGTATAAGCATCTTCAATATATATATCCCCACGGGTATATAGCATAAGTATCTTGCGTACCAAGCTTGTATGAGTTATCTTCATCAAAAACATAAAGGTCTTGAAGCTTACTTCTACACTCTTCAACCTATCAAGACACACTTTTCTTGTATGACCATCCTTCTTACAATGGTAACACCATATAGTAGAAGCATTACCACCATAAGATTTCTATAGAACTTTACCATTATTCTTCTATTCAACGCTTGATCTTCATCGTCGATCTTGACATCGATATTCTCCAAATCAAGAATCAATTTGTTGAACATATCCAACTGCTAAACCAATATTTTGCCTTCACTCGTCTTGAAAGAATACATAGCATATGGTTAAACCTTTAATAAAGGAGACAAACATGACATGTGACTAAGTGGGAATAATCATTTGGATATGGTCTATAATATCATATATTTGATAAGTGGTCTCATATGGTTACACATGATCAGAACCCAAAACCAGTGGTACAAGGAGCAACAAGAACAATATTGGATGATAAACTTTAAAATTCCTCTTAGTTCCTCTCAATAATTTAGGACATTGTAATTTTCAATGATCTTTATCCTTGCAAAAAACACATTCATCATTATTAAGTCCAATTATACATTGAGATTTTTCTTTCATGGTAAGAGCAAAAAATAGATGAAGGAGTCTAAAGAGTTCATTTATTTGAAATCAGATTAGAGTGAGATGTAGAATACTAAATCACCATGGAGAAATGAAGTACGATGTAGAGTACTTTTACGAAGACTATCAAAATCACCCTAAAAGTCTATAAAAAAATTAAACGAGACGATATTCTCTTTGTTGATATATGTTTTGACAACTTTTAATTCAATTAATTCCAATAGTCAATTGATTCCATAAATTAACTATAAACTTAATAGAAATTCCTTCAACATAACACCATATCTTCTTTCCTTTCAATTTTTTTTTCATATATATCTTTAATAATCATAATTTCAGCCATTAAATTGAATATTAATAGATTAAAGAGAATCATATATTTCATTAACTATTACGATTATAAAGATTAAAAAAAAAAGGAAAAAAATTCTATCAAGTTTTATTTTAGAGAAACAACTAATCTAATACACTAATAAAAAAAATTTATAAGACAAAAACATATTAAATTTAACATAACCTGTGTACAAATTCAATTTGTTAATCACTAAACTAATACACTAATAATTATTTTATTATCTGTTTAATGATTGTTCAAATTCTTGATAAAAAAATATACACGTCTCTATATGATTAGTCCTTTGTAATGTTTAGAGACAAGTGTGTCAGATTACCACTTTCCATATGCAATTCTTTAACTTCTTTATAACCCAAAAAAGAAAACTAAAACATACTATTATACAATAGTTAATTCTGTCAATATATATTTAATACATGCAACTGTTCTGTAAACAGCACCACATTCAAAGCATCTTTCTAATAATAATTTACTCGCAATATTCTATAAAACAATTATAGACCCATCAATATTAAATTGTCAAGATCAGAACCTATAAATCTTTTCTTAAACTTTTTAATCTGGATTTTTCCTAACAACTTCTCTATAGAGTATCTTTTCCAAACCTGAATTCCACTATAAACAACTTTTTTTGTTCATAGAAATTAATAAAATAAAATTTATGAAATTATAAAGCTCAATGGTTGATTAGGCCTAGTCAGAATTTCAACACTGTGCCAACCTGGGATTCCTCTATAGTTAAAACAAAATTGTTTTTTTACCAAAAAAAGTATTTTTTTTTTATATAAAGAGGTAGTTATAACTTTTAACCTCTAATTAATCTTTCAATGCATTTGGATTTTTTTTTTTAATTTTATAAATTAAAAAAATATGTAAAGGGCACAGTCACAGAAGCTTCTCTGCTGTTGGTGAACCTAAAAAAGTTACATGTAATAAAAAACATAAAGAAAATGCCAGAAATTATGGTTGACCCCAGCACAAGTAAATTACCAAATGTCATCATCATTGAAATTAAAAACAGAAAGAGATTAAATTATTAAATTAATAAAACTAAGACCCTACTTTATATATTACAGCTGGTTACCAACATAAATTAGCATAAGGTTAATTGACATGACATATAATAAGATTTTGATAAAGACATAAAAAAATCCTTTTATGAATTGTTTATATTTAACTGGTTATAAATAAATCGATATTATTAGATTGAATTTTAACAGACACTTGAATTCTAAAACCCGTAGTTGTGTGTTTGAGGTTTTTAAATACATACAAAAGAAAAGAGGATTTGAATTCTTGCAGACAAATTTTCTCACATTCGTATAGTCAAAATAATATTGTTTGTTTGATTTTAATCATACGGTTAAGAAATAATAATTTAATTTTTTATTTTAAAATTATTAATTTTTAAATCACAAATGTCCGTTCTTGATCGGAAGGACATACTTAATGCGTGAATGTGAGTTTTTGTTACTACATGGAATTTAGGTCCAAGAAAAAAAATGTGGGTAAGGAAACTCAAGAAAATCAACCATTTTAAAAAGAAAAATTATTCACAAAACATAAAATAATAGAGAAAGTGAAGAGTGATAATGATAGGTGGTACAAAAGCTCCTTTAATTAATTAGCACCAGATCCTAAAGATTTTACAGTAAATACTATTACAAAAAAAAAAAAAAACACCTCCATGATAACAAAAATTAAAAATCATAGACCTAATAATAACAATAACAATAATGGCTTAATAATTGATGAGGTTATTCCAATTAAATTTGTTGTTGATGTGTACAACAGCAATCTTCCTATTCCTCTTTAGCTTTAATTCATGCGTAATGAAAGCTTAATTTCATAGGGGTAGTTGATTTGTGCCTGCATTGGACAAAAATATTGATGTCAACAATTATTTTATTTTAGGCCTAATGAAAATGATGTTTACTTTTTTTTTTTTTTAATTATTAATTTATAAATATTAATAATTTATTTACATTACAATATTACCGTTCAAATTCTGAAATTGTATTGGTGATTTTCTATTGTCAGTTTGTCCAAATCCCATTTGAACAATTGTGTGGAGGTCATCTTCAGAGAATGTTAATGGATACTGAAAAATTTGAAAATCATCATACAAGATTAGTTAGGTAAAAAAAAAAAATTGCCTCAAAAATGAATCTATTAGGTTAAAAAAGTTGAATATGATTCAACAAAGAAAATCATGTATTTGATGAATAATTTGCATTTCGACTTTATAAATTAAATTTAAAATATAATATTGCAACCTACATTAGTGATTATGACAATCAGATAATTTAAATAGTTAAATCAATGTCAAATGATTTACGTCTTAACTTTATATAGTTATAATGTGAATAGTTGATATTAATTTGATGGTCAAAAATAGAAAGATGATTATCGGCGATTAACATTTTTTTGATGATAAATTTGGAGAAAATTGATTACCTGAGAGGCAGCTTCATGGAATCCATTAAGTGAAGATAAGTGCATGCCAAGGTTTTGGCACAAAGCATTTTCTAATGGGTCCAATGAGTTGTGGGGCATAGTTCCATTAGAAATGCTATTGTGGATTGCTGGATTTTGCTGGTGTTGTTGCCCATAAAAGGATGGTGCTGAGGAATCTTGAGAGAATATTGGGTGTGCCAAAGAATTATTTGATTGAAATATCTAAAATTACAATAAAAAGAAGTCAGCACATTTATGTTAATAAAAAACCGATACAATTGTTTCGTTAATATAACTCAGTTGATAGCTATGCAGCAGTGATATATTGCAGAGTTCAAATATGCAACTAAGACATTTATTTTTAAAAAAAATTGGGGATTAGGTTAATAGATATAAAAAACAATACTTTTTATTTATCCATTGAAAAGCAAATCCATTATCTAGAGCCCTTAAACTTACATCTTTTGAGATTAGGTTTTCAATACTAAAATCCACCCTTGTGTTGACAGAAGCCAATTTCATAGATAGGAACTGCAAAAAGAAAATCAAACCAAAAAAATTTTAAAAAACTTAATGAGCAAGAAATCTTAACATCATGTGATAATATGCTTATTCCCTCTAATTTTAAAAATAAGTACAAAAAATTATATGTAATTCCTAAAGTTGACATTTTTTTATGTTACCTCAACTTGACGCTGCAATGATTGAACATAGTTTATAATTTCATCAAGCATAAGTGCTTTTCCAGTAACCTACATGTAATAATAATAATAGTTCATAACTAGAAATTAGTAAACATAACCAACCAATCAATTTCTCTAAACCTTAAACTTATCGATTTTTTGTCGGACCTTATTGCAACCCGGTACGAGATCTTGTAGAAGCTTCATTCTTTCACTTATTTTCTCCCTTCTAACCTAAAACAAAATTTAATTTTACATAATGTCAAATTTCAAAGCCGACACATATATTGTCGACATGATTTAAAATAATGGTCCACAAATTACATGCACAATATATCATATTCATTGAAGTTCACAATTGCAATTACATATAAAATATATCAGATTGGGCGTAACCCTATTTATTTTGATAGAAAGTGAATATTCTTTATATATAATTATAGAGATTAATCTGTTGAAGAGAGGAGAATCATATTAACCTGCCGAAAATTTTAAGAGTAACCCGAATTTAAGACAACGATTGTTAGTATCAATTTTGGAATGAAAATGACATTGAAAATTCTTACTCTTTCTGCAAGACTATGGCTGTCAGTAGCTTGACCTCTTCTTGCTCTGACATGAATGTAATCCTTTGGAGCCTCAGGTGGTTTTGAGTTACTTTTATTCTGTTTTTCATCACCTCCATTATTACTATTTGTACCCCCTTTTGACTCTTCCTCTGCTTTTACTTTACCATTTTCAACTTTTTCACCTTTGCTTGTTTTCATGCGCTTTGAATTTGAATCTTCACCAACTTCACAAGCCTTTAATTGAAAAACAAAAATGACCCTTTTGGATTTAAGATATGAAATCACCATTTTAACTTAAAGGGTCAAAGAAAATCAAGTAAAAATTCAATTTTTATCTTACCATTTGAGGGTTACTAGAAGTTGAATTTTCTTTGGATTTTCCTTTGGAAGATGCTTTTCTTTTCCTTGAATTCACATAAGGAGATGGTTTGTTACCATTCTCAGAGATTGTTGATTCATCTTGTGAATTGTTAACTTCAATTGGATCATGAAGTTGAGATTGAGATTGAGATTGAGATCCAAGTTCTTTCAATGATGGACTACTTGAAACTCTAGAGAGTTTTCCATTTTCCATCAATGGAGTAGATCTTTGACTTTGACTCAATTGTGTAGTTGTTCTTCCATTAAAACTCCTACTTCCAAAGCAAGAGAATTTCGCAGCTCGTTCAGCAAAACCAGGATCAGTTGAGAATTCTGCGACGGTTGAATTCAAATTCATGTTTTGAATGCTCAATTTAGGAGGAGAATTCAAAGGGGTGTTGTAACATGAAGTATTGTTATTGCTATTGATGTAAGAGTTTGCAGCAACCAAAGTGTGTGAGATCTCATCGGAACAATTACCAATGTTTCCCAATTTTCCAATCAATTCTCTGATGACAAAGTTTTCATTTGACATGTTGGAATTGGATGCTGCTGGTGAAGATACCATTGAGCTAAGTGCTGAGTCAAATTGACGAACACATTGATCTGCTGGTGTGTAGAAACATTCTTGATTATGTTGTTGTTCAGACGAAAGTGAGAGTGGTTGCCATGTAGGATGTGATTGTTCAAAATGAAGATTGGTGTTTGAAAAAAATTGATTTTCCATGAAGGTAAAGGTGAAGAATAGAACTGATTTTACTTGAATAGGATCTGTTCTATAGACTCGTACTACTGTATCCTTGATTTCTAAGAAGACTGGAAACTAAAAAAAAAGACAATCCTTGATTTCTAAGGAGGCAGGAACTAAAAAAAGGCTAATAATTTAAGAAATAAAGTTAAAAGATGAAATTGGTATTATGAAAATGAATGAATCTTGTTACATTAGAAAGAAAAAAAAGGTGAGTTTGGTGATTAGGTTGAAGTGATGAATGAAAAGAGTGAAATTGGTGGGATAAAAAGGTGTAAGGAAAAGTGAAGAGAGAGAGAGAGAGAGAGAGAGAGAGAGGGAGAGAGAAAAGGAAGAAGGGGATTGATGTAGTTGTGATAGGGGGAGACTATATAGAGATCCAAGTAAGAACAAGGTTGAGTTTAAGTTCTCAATGTTTGACCTTTTGTGTTTTTGGTGTTGTTTATAATAGTAGTAGTACTATTGTTTCTTGTGTTGGAATTATGTAGCAGTAGTTGTAGTCAGTAACTTGTTACTTTTGTTTTTCTTTTTCAATCTCTCTCATTTTATGTCTATTGTGTAGATATACATTAATGTTTTTATAGCAAATATTACTATGTTAGTATTTGTACTCTCTCCTTCTTTTACTTCAAATATACCATGTGATCTTGTAACTTCGACATTTCTAATAAATTAGATTTTTGAAATTTTCATGAAATGTGGAATTAGTTTTAGCACATAAATGTATATGTTGTTAATCTTTTAAATAAAGTTGGTTAAAAGATGCGGCTGTTATTTATACAATCTGATTGGAACAATGTGTTTATTCATCGTACTTGCACATCGATCAAGCTAGTCTATATGAAGAAAAATGTGTGTTAAGAGTTGAATTTGTTATCAAATTTTGAAAGGATTTGTGTGTCTTGATCAATGTAGAAAGAGTTTTGTAGACTTGTCATAGGACTTAGCTTTTATACACATATGATGAGTTAAACACATATTTTTGTGACTTTTTTATTCAAATAACTCAATTTTTTAATATAATCTTTTAAATAACAATTTTGCTATTTTGACACCAATTATATACACTACACTGTGTACATATACATATACTGTTCATTACTACTAAAAAATCAATTAAATATTCAAACCATTTTCTTCTCTCTTTTTTATATTATATATTGTGGGTCCAACATTTTATATACTTCTCACTCTTTTAATTTATATATTTCTTTCACCCTTTCTATTTATTTCACTTGTACTTTATCTTCTTCATCCGGTCAAAAAATGGTTAATAAATAATTATGAAAAATATATGAAATCGATTAACATTAAAAAAATTTGGTTAAAAGTGTGAAAAAAATTGGTCAATACACTTGAGAACATTGTTAATGAATAATCATGATTAAATGTATGTAATCACATAACAATAACAAAAGTTGGTTAATGGTGTGTATCAAGTTGGTCAATACAGTTTAGAATATGGTTAATGAACACTATGTGAACAGTACGTGAATAATGACTTTAAATAAAGAAATAAAGTTGATTAATAAAATGTAAAATGTTGATTAATGAAGTGTTGAAGTTGGTTAATAAACGTTTAAAATTTTAAAAATAATTTTTAATAGTAAAACAAAGTTGGTTAATGAAAAGAAAAAAGTTCGTTAATAAAATGATAAAGTTGGTTAATGAACGTCCAGATATTAAAAAAAGTTTTAGTAGTAAAACATAAAATGTTGATTAATAAAATTATAAAATTAGTTATATTTAATATATATATATATATATATATATATATATATATATATATATATATATATATATATATATATATATATATATATATATATATATATATATATATCCATTCAAATAAACAACTTGTCTTTTTATTTTGATTTAAAAATAGGAGAGAGAAATTAATGATAAAATATTGAATCTAGATTATACTATACGGTGTAGGTGTAACATGGGATGTAAATATATCATTTCTCTTTAAATAATCTACGTTTCAAAAAATTTCCTAAAATACCCTAATTTTAGAATATGATTAAGTGATGTTGCTAGTTGAATTGACGACAACCTTATAAGTTTAAGTGGAAGTGTCAATTGGATTGAAGACACTATATGGTGTTGTCAATTCAATTGACGTTAGTGTACAAATGCGTAAAGGTGACGCCAATTGGTCTGACACCAGTGTACAAACATAATTTTTATAGCATAAATAGTTAACATTAATATTTAATTAAAAATACTTTTACATAAACTAATGATGACGACCAGGTTGGTCATACCGGCCACCGGTTCCACATTCCCTAACCACCCTTACTCGTTGGTCTTGTTGTTGATTCACTCCAGATGTTTGAGAATTTGAGGTTTCAAGAACTTCAGCAAGATTCCTAAGAAGTTCTTGCATTTCTAAGAAGTCTTGTGTATGGAGCGACACACTACCGAAACTAAGTTCGCGACCTTATTTATCGTAAAAAAAAAAGGGTAAACAACCGCTAGTCTTCAAAAGTTATTAAATCTCCGGTCACTTACAGGGTCAACTAGATTGATCTTAAGACATGTGTTGTTACTTAGTTTCTGAGTTTATTGATTATGAACATTTAGACAATATTCTTTAAATATATTCAATGTTGTTAAGGGAATGTTATGATTTCTTTTAAGTAAGTACATAAATGTAGATTGCAAAAGGTAAATTGCTTGAAGGTAAATGACAAGTAAATAAATTGCAAGGTAAATGAGTGGAATTTAAATGAATTTGATTACAAGGAATGATATTCAAATGTACATTTTCTCTCAAAAGCACTCTTTTCTCACTCGCAGGTACTGGGAGTAAAGTTTAGAGTTTTTGTACAATTGTTGAACACTCATATTCTAAATGCTAAGTGTTATATTTATACTAAATAAAAATAACTGTCATCTAACAGTCATTTCGCCAGGAAGCGCCACTTCCCTAATCTGCATGTATTTCATCGCTTTAAAACTTTCCACGTGTCTTGAGAAACAGATAAGGCCAAAAGATAGTTATCAGCTTTATTTGAAATGCACTACTCGAAGCGATACTTTAAGTGAACATTGTCGAACTCCAATCTAGGCCAAAAGTCTTTCTAAGTGCTAAACCATAGTGCCATCTATGTAAATATTTCTTCGACCAGATCTTCAATATTTCCCCGTCGAAAATAATGAATTCTCTCTCAAAGTAATTCTTCAAGCTCCAACAGCCCGTTTTAAATCTTCCCTTTCGTCGAAACATCATTGTCACTGTTTGCTGTCGAGATCATCATGCTCTTCTTCAGAATATAGCCTTGAACCTTCTAACTTACTTTCAACATTAAATGAGTGTCGAAATCCCAGCCAACAAATTGCCCCTAAAAAATGTCATTTTCGATTATAAAGAGAAAAATACATTTTTTTGAAGCCTTTTCGACCTTCCTACACCGTTACTACTGTTGCACCCCAAAATTTGACCAACAATTTTTTATTCATTGAGTGTTTGAAAGTGGATACCTTCATCAGAAAGTTCAAGAGGTCCTCAGAAGAAGTGGTTTGAAACCAGGGTTATGTGCTTCATAGCTTGAGAGTTGTAGGTGCTCCTCAGGTGATTCTGAGACTTTGAGAATGAATTTGATGTTTTGGGAAAGCCTATGAGATGTCTTGATATCCTTCATGAAGCCCAGGGAAGTCATTATGCAAGAGTTCAGAGGATTCAACCATGAATGATAGAATTAGGGTTTTGACTGGGTCAACCCTAGGTTAACAGATGATTTGGGAAGGGTTGAGACCAATCCAAGGGCCATGAGATCATGGAATGATGCATAGAGAGGATATAAAGATGATTCCTAGGCCAACTCATCATGAGTGAGGAGTTTGAGAAGTTTCAAGTCAGGGTCTCCAAGGATTGTCAGTGAAAAACCCTAATTTGATCCCTATCTTCCAGGCAGTTTTAGCTCAAGATGTGATTGATATCTCACCTTCCCCATAACATGAATGTTGTAGAGCTTGTTCTAAGCTTTAATTTGAGTGGTGGAAGTCCTTGATAGGAGTTACAGAGCCCAAGTTATGGTTTTGACAAATTACAGGTCAGCAGAGGTGTGTGAATCTGGGCCCTTGAAAGTCACCCAACTTGCAGACAACTTTTGCCCTAGTAGGGTGATTCCTATGACTTCTTGGTCAACATGAATGTTGAAGAGCATCTTCTTAGCTTTAATTTGAGTGGTAGAAGTCCTTGATTGGAATTGTGGAACTCAACTTATGGTTTGAACAAGACAGGGGTATTTTGGTCATTTGTCAGTTATAGGTCATTTTATCCAATGCCTAAAACTCCTATTTCCAAGCCTCAAATGGAAAAACTCAAAACATGAAAGTTGTTCAAAATGTGATTTTAAGTCTAGAAAAAAGGTCACAAATTGTTGGAAAAGCTCATAACATGAAGTTACATGATTGGTCAAAAAATGAACTAAAAATGGCATATAAGTTTGAAAAGTTGAATTTGAAAATTGATTTGGAAGATCCACAAATCCAAAATAGGTCATCCAATATATCATTTTGATTGGAAACATTATTTTGAGAACTTTGGTTCAAATAGATTTTTCATTTGAGGTCTAAAAAGGGGACTTTCTTTGTAAATCTATTACTTGCATTATAAGGCAATGTTGGAAAACCTTACACAAGGCAAAACCAAGGCTTGTAATTGTGCACTCCTTCCCAATATCTCATGTAAAGATATTTTAAGACCAAATGGTAAGGCATAAGGCATGGAATGTGAGATTTTCAATATGTCCCCACATGAGATTTTCAAGAAATTTCCACCATATTCTAGATGAATCTAGAAGCATCTAATGATCATTATAAGAAGAGGGCCATGAAGAGAGTTCAAGGTTGGTGATAGAGAGAGATTTCAGGAGAGAGAGAGAGAGAGAAATAGCCATTGAAGCACTTCCTTCAAGATCAAGCAACTTGGGATTTCTTTCACTACAAGCTTTCTTCTCCAAAAC